CCCCCCCTCCTCCATTCAGGCAGTTAATAGATTTGTCTTTATGAATGGGTTTTACTTTGCTTGTGTCCCAGGGGAGATGGATCCAATTAATCAATTATCCCTTTAATTACAAAAATTTACTATAGCAGGCTGTCACAAAATGAAAATTAAAGCTAACTTGACCATGTGAAGTGGGTCCTATTTCCAGTGCAACTTTTTTCAGTAGACAAGCTGCAGTTGCTTATATTCCTTTGAAGCTGGCCCCACGTTTCAGACCCTACATGGACAATCATCACAACCTTTAGTAAAACAACATACTTCTCCATTACAGCTTCAAAATGTTAATTTTATCTTATTCTTATGGAAGGGGTGGATGGGTGTGTGGATATGAAAGTAAAATAATCATTTTGGTTACAAGTATGAACTGGAAGAGCAGTCTCATTTTGTCCTCCCATGTCAGGCAAGTGAAGAGAATAACCTTTATTTCTTCATTGTCATTTCAAAAGATTATTTTTTGAATGTCTGCTTAACCAGGCTGTTGTCTCCATTTGTTAACAAGGCAGGACAGAGTACCTTTCCTTTACTTCCCTAGCTGTAACTATCAGAACTAACAGAATTGGGTGGGGATAAACATCTTGAGATTTACGTGGATTTTTCTATTCTGCATACTCTTTTGCCAAACTTATTATAAGCAACTACCATTTAATTCAGTGGTTTTCTGCACAGTGGACTGGTGTAGGTCTGGATGAAAAGAGTTATGCCACTCCGTACTGCTGAATTGTATGTGCTTTTCTTTAAACGTATAGGAAATGCCAATATAATTCCCTCCTAACTCTATTTTTGCTTTATGATTAGCCAAGCTAATTTTCTACTGTACCCTGGAAATGGAGGACCATTATTTGAAGCAGTTGTTCAAAGTAATGCTCTATTGTACCTTGAGAGGCTTAGTTGAAATTTGTCATAGCTAACTCTTCTGACTAAGAGGAATAAGCATCATCTACAACTGCAAGTCTTTATTTATTCATATAAAATCAGGGTTGTTGCTTTTCCCACTGCACTCTCCATAAAAAACTGTGGGTGAATGGTTTGCAGAACGTTTCAGTGACTATAACTCTGCTTTCAGGGTCTTGATCCAAATCTGCTTATGTAAAATAACTTCACAAATTCTTCATATTAATTATCTTGATCCTGATGTAATTTTAACTAGCAACCTACAGCATAAGCTGCTGGTATTACTTTTATACATCACAGAACACAGTGGTATGCTACTATTAACTTTGTTTTTTTTTTTCCTCGTAGGCCCTTCAGCTAGTACAATTTGACCAATCAGAGACATCAGATTGATTTACTTAAACTGAGACAGGATCTGAGCAGTAATGAGATTAGAGATTCTGTGCACTGATTCTATTTCTGCTTGCCTCTGAAAGAAAAGATGAGTGCAGTAGGAAGCAATTCTGCATTCAGGAAGGTAAAGTGCTGTGAATTTTACCAGGCACTGCTCACTGCTTTAATACGTTGAGGCCAAGGACAGTACAAACAATGGAAGTTTTCCTCCTTGTATTTCAAAGGACTTTTTCCATAGCTTCATGTTATAGACAAAATAATTTGTAAGGGGACAACTTCTAATAAATTAATTTGTGTTCCCATAAAAAATGTAAATTGAGCATTCAGAACCTTCAAGATCTGAGGATAATCTAGTAGTTTTTTGTGTCCAATTTGGTTTTTTGTATGGAAAATTACGTGAATTAAACACAAATGGTCAAACAACTGGGTTCTTTTGCAAGCTTTTATGGCTCTTCCAAGCATGTACTATTATATCATCATGCTGGTTTTGGTCCCAAACTGGACACAGCAAACACAAAAACATATCTACTGCCTTTGAAAAACTGTCCATCCAATTTCCACACTAAGCAGGACCAACCTTTCTAGTCAGCAGAATCCGGAATCATTAGAAAAATTGTCAGTAGTTCTACAGCATGTTCCTAGATCAAAAAGGTTCCGCTAAATGTGGTAAATCTTCAGGAAAGCAACTCAGCTACAGAATTGTACCTGAGTCAAGCTACTTGTGATTCATAACGTAGTTTGCCTAGACAGTAAGCAGCCTCTGTATCAACCATCCTATTCAGAACTGTTGCCTTCTACGGAGGAGGATGGTGCTACAAAAATGGCGGAAGATTTCCCCCCCCCGGTCTTTCTGTGTTGACAAAGATGTATTTGCAAATATTTTTCTTGTGTGCAGAATTGCAAACATTTCCATAGCTTACTGTGAAAGCACATTAATATTTCGGATGTTAAAACCAAAAACAGTGCTGTATTTTTAACCCATTGACTCATTAAACTTTTCTCTCTGTTAACTGTTTTTTTTTCCCTTATGCAAACTTTGAGACAACTGAGCTTATATCAGTAAACTGGGATGTTATAAATGCCACATAATCATTCTGTGTTAGTGTAGCAGCATTTACCACATTAGAAAAATGTGAGAAACTGCCACCCACAAGAAAAAGGTTGAAGCTTCCCTCTTAGAGCTTCCGGCTGAACATGACAGCCTTAAGAGGTACAGGCTGCTATTTCGTTCTGCAAGAAATTAGTTTATACTCTGGTAGTCTTTTCTTTGTGAAGAGAAGCGTTTGATATCTTCAACTTCAAGGACCCCTTCATAAGGGCTTTGGGCCAAAGAATTCAGAGCAGAAGGTATCAGGCGAGTTGGGGGAGGCCTGTGGAAAGGATTATATATTGTGTTTGCTGGTAACAGCAGAGAACTGTATTCAATGACCTAGCAGGTCCCTTTCAATCCTATTTTCCTTAATCTCCCTCCAGGCCTCAGCTGGCTAGGAATCTGTGTGGCTTTCAAAATATGGGATGACAAAGTCCTGATTGACTCTGCTTCTGCCAACAGTTTTTAAAAGGTCTAAGATTTCTATATCCAAACGTGCATTCATCTCCTTACTGTGTGTACAAAATTTACCATAGATAGATAGATGGGAGCTGTGAAAATTCAGCTGATGAGATCAGGCTCTGGGTGTTCTCAGCTGTAAGTGTCACATAGGAAATTCAGAATTATCACAGGTACCGGATATTCTGTTTTAACATATAGTTTGATACTTTTCACTAATGGTTCTCAACCTTTTTTAGAATCCAAGCACCCCTCCATAACTTTTCTGAATTTAGTAGCTCCCCGTTTCAAAAACTAATTTCACTCATTTTTGATTATGGAAAAATAAAAGAGCAATTCTTCTGTGGCAATGAACTCAGAAAGATTACAGGTCAGAATGTTTTTGATACTCCGGATTTCTATTTGCAATCTCTGGATTTATTTTGTGAATTGTTTAGGTGTTTGTACACTTAAGAGTGGTAATACTGTGCCACCATTAAAAGGATCTCATAGCACCACAGTTGAAAGTCACTGCTTTTAAGTTGAATGTGATCTTTTAATTCTATACACAACAGTGATTATTTTTTGTGTGCGTTTCCACTGTGGTTATAAAATATATTGTATAAGCTATTTTTCTTCTAAAACAATTTACTAGGACAATAGCATGAAAAATGTTGCTCAGAATTAAGTTTTAGATTTTCTTTTAGTAAGAAATAAATTAATAGCTTTTATAAATGCAATAAGAGATTTAGGGAAAATCTAAATGGGAACGCTTTGAGGGTCAGTAAATACTTGCTCGTTTCCAATTCTGATTTGTGACACAGGGTTTTCCTAGCAAATCCAAAGCAATCAG